ACACACACACACACACACACACACATTGAAACAGTTTCTGGAGGGGACCACCGGTCATGTTGGTTGCAGACAGTCGTAACATTTCCAGATAAACACGTGTGCTGTTACCATCATGTCCTCACCTGTACAGCTGTGGACAGGACATCTTTAGTGAGGTGGAGGACAGTCCCAGCCTGCTCTGATTCSTCAGTTTACTTTTCCTCACCATGTCTTTGACTCTGCCCCAAGTGTAGTTGTCACTCAGCTGAATACAAAGACACAAAATAACAATTTAGTGACACGTGTTTTTGGACTTTTCTCCCTCTAAAACACATTTAAATTTACACTGGAACCAGTTCAAACAGATGATTGGTCTAAATGGACAGTTAAATCAGGTCATTGTGAGTCTGTCCAGCTGCTTTGCTCATCTGGTCAGGAGAAAAAAAATGATGTTTGGTCAAATGTTAAGATTAAAAAGTATAGAAATAGAAAACCTGATGCCCACTATAATGGTTTAAAGTTGCAGTTATGAGCAGATGAACGTTTGTTCATTAATGGACCACCATACCACCTTTCTGGCTGCCTTTGTAGAATTTACCAACGGACCTGTTGCAGCTTTGAGTTCCCAAACGAGGTCGAATCAGAACTGTAACAGAGCTTTGATGTTCAGGACATGATGTAGTGAAAATGCTCTGTGACCACCCGACCACAGGGTTCATCAGCTCAAACTCCATTCAACAGATTACATTTTAGAGAAGTCGAGCTCATTCCTGGAACAAGTGGTGGTTTTTTTTTCAACAAGTTCAACTGATAATGGAAAAGCTGACAACAAGATCTATGAGTTTTCAACTTCTCACATTGGCTTCCTGTATCACAGAGAAAAGACTTTAAAATACTCATGCTTGTTTATAAATCACTGAATGGCTTAGCACCAAACTACGTTTAAGATTTGTTGTTGCTGTATCGACCTTCTTCAGGTCTTCTGGTTCAAGCTCAGAATCGAAACCAAACAGAGAGGAGCATTCAGTTTTAAAGCTCCACTCATCTGGAACAAACTCTCAGAAAACTAAGAACGCAGAAACCCTGAGTTATTTTAAATCATGGTTAAAGCCCTTTTGTTTAGAGTTGCCTTTGACTGTTCTGTTTAAAATCCTCAATTAAACCAATGTAATGAACACATGTTGTTTGTTTTCATCATGTAAAGCACTTTGAATTGTTATTGAAATGTGCTGTTTAAAGTTGCCTTATAGAGCAGAAGAAGAAACTAATCAACATTTCACAGGAACAGTGAAAGCTGGACTATTCTTAGAACAATTGGAAAAATTGCCTTATTGAGTTTGGCTACAATGAGGACAAGACCAATTTCAAACTAAAGGACCACCTACAGTTCTGGTTGTGTTTTAACCTGTGCAGAGGATCCAGGGATGAGCCATTTCCTCAATCATGCTGCTCTTTTAAGCAGTATGAAAGATTTCTGTCCCACGTTTAATACAGCTAAGTTTAACACATCTCTTTTATGATGCTGGCTTCATTTCTGAGAGCTCACGACTGGTTTGTTTCTTTAAAACTCAAGAGAAGAATCTGGGAGAAACTCAAATATTTGCTTGATAAATTATAAAGTTTAAACATGTTCCGGGCCAAACTCTTTCATTTCTTTCCTTTCCTGAATATAGAACCTTGTTCCTCAGGATCTTCACGCTCTGTGATTGTTTAGAGAAGCAGATAAGTGTGTTTTTGGTCAGAACACCACTTGGTGTCACACTGGAGTCGCTGCTCTCAGCCTTGACGCAAAGCAAAGCGATGTTAAAGCAACAGCAGCTAAGGAAACTAAGAATAAATTTAAATTTTATGGCATTCTGAGAACAACATTTGATAGGACCTGTTACCTCACAGCTTAAATATTCTACACTATACATTATTTCCCTCAGTAATTCTTCTGCATGTCTCGCATTTCCCACTCAGAAGCTTGTTCAAAACCGAGGACAAAAATCTGTTTTTATCAAACCCTAACTTATCAAATTTGGTTCAAAAAAGATTATAGATATGGCTGCATAACCTCATGATTTTGGCTCAATTTGTCTTGATTTTGCAGCTTTTGTTTAAGACCCATGATGCTTGAACATAGGAAAGGTTTTAGGTCTTGGATGACTGAGCAAAAACAGTAGAGGGTGCAGATTATTGTTGGACTGAGGCACGCAGAGGTGAGGCAAACATCAAGTGTTTAACAATGATGTCAACAAGTAGAGGAAGAAAATGGTAGATTTTATTGTGTGGACTTGAACTGAATGAAAGGCAGTTGCCTGAAAAGCATCATTTTCCTTTTTTAACACTAGTGTTTGTAATGTGCTGAGACATTTGCTTACCCACAATGGACTAGGTGTTAGACTGTTTTTGCATGAACCCATCACTTCATAAACCTGATGTTAGAGGATAGATACTGACAGAAAAGTGATCAGCTCTAATTCTCTGGACTTGTTCTGCATAAACTTCCCAAAAATGTTTTTTTAGCAGACAAACAACAAGACATGGCAGAACACGGTTCTTGTCTTGAACCAACCAAGCTCACCCTGCGCTGGGGGGTGGACAGCCCTTCTGTGTTGTCTCCAAGGAAGCAGTCCTCCCCCTCGGTGTAACTCCTTCGATTCAGACTTCTCCTCCACAGTGGAATAGTTGTCAGACTTTCACTACTTATGTCTGAAACATAAATCACAAAACAGAAAAAAAAATACTTTTACCAACAGGGGCACCACGGAGGCTTTCCATCCTCCTTCATTGAATTGTTTTAGCCTCCTAAGCCCTTCCTTGATATGTATTTTTAATTTCTTCTAACTCCTTTGGATGAGCAGAACCTCAGGGTTTCTACATTAAAACATTTCTAGAGGCATCACTTCTTTAGAAACCAGCTCAGAAGTAAATGTTCAGTCCTGATTATTGCTGACTTGGTGAATCTCAGAATTCAGATGTTTTTCAGTTCAGTCATCAGATGTGCTGTTTTTCAGGTCATTTTGTAATCATAATACCCTCAGATAATTAGAAAAAAAAAAAGCAGGCTTGTGTTTCACAAGTGGGGTCATCAAAAGTTGTGATGTGTGGTTAAAAAAAAGAGAAAAGTTTCTCTTTTAGTAGCATGTACTAAAGCATTTGTTCAGAAAGATTTACATGTTTTCAACAACTTTATCCCATCCCTGAAAACGACTGGAGATCTGTCAGGAATGTACACCACATTTCCCAGCTGAGGACTGAACAGGGCTGGATAAAGAAGTTTGTGGTTGGGGAGACAGCTGGGGGGGGGACAAAAAAAAAAACAAGACAGAAGATGAATCTTAAGATCAGCTAATAGCTGAAGGCTAAAGCCTTGAAGTGGAATAAACACAAAGATTGGGCATGAAGTAAAAAATGTTAGTTTCAGGTCTGTTTTCTAATTTTAAAAGGATGTGGTGGCATTTTGCACTTAGTTGACGTCAAAAGTGCATCTAACATTCAGTTAATCTTTTACAAAATTTCCTTCAGATGAACAACAAATGTTTATTTTCTGAAAGTTTTAATAAAATCAGTTCAGTGGTTTGTGAAATATTTTGATGACAGACAGCGTTGACTCCAAAAATTATTGCCAACAYTTTAAACAAARATCTAACACTATCTGATAATGCTCAAAGTATTTGCTGGAGGTCACTTTCAGCTTCTATCACATCAAATCTCAGGTCAATATCTGTAAAAATGACTGATTTATAACAATTTTAAAGTTTGCTAAGGGTGTGGCAGCCATCTTGAATCAGGCTGACCACTACCATTGATCAGGTATACAGATACATCCAATGATTACTTTCTGAAAGATTCATTCAAATCTGTCCAGAGATACATTAATTGTTTTTAACAGACATACAGGCAAAAAAAWTATTGTCTATTTGCATTTCAGCAGTGGGCAAGAATTTCAAATGTTGCTGCATGAAGCTTCTTTAATTTTTGCTTTGTGTTTCTGTTTTTTCCCTCTATGTTCAGAATAATGACTGTTACAGTAAATGTTGAATGATATCGGCAGAAGCCATTTTTCTTGCCTACAGTATGCTCATCGCACTCTTCGCTTCCCCCACATGGATGTAAACACAACTCCCTGATCACATGACCTCACTGTTTCTAACAACTTACCAGATAAGGAAACTCTCAGATTTGGGCAACCACTGAGAGTTCTGCTTATGTTACAAAGAGGTTTCAAATATTTATAACATCACATTTGCTTGAGTGCACTGACTTGAACAGCACTCTACGCATAACTCTAGTTGTTACCTACGTTCTTGATCATGTTCCACACTACCATGGGTGGAAATCCCAGAGGGGGTCAAAGGGGTCCAGACCCACCCTAACAATTTAGGAAAACTTTGCGGTGGAATTGAACTGCCAACTCTTGCATTAGAGAAACAACTCCCACAACAAACATTCAGCCACAGCCGCCCCAGTAAGCATGAACTAGTAGAAACACTAGGTCTTGATTGCAGCTACAAAAAATGTAATCAAAAGAACACTGTAGACATTTAATTGTTATAAATTTTGAAAWAAAAGACAAATTGACAGGAGTAAAATGCCAAAATGCAATTAAAAAACATTGAATGGATAAAGAGCAAAGAGACAGCAAATAAGTTTGCTTTCTGTTAGAAACTGCTAACTGAAGCATCAGGATCAAAGATATTCTCATACAGATTTAAAAAATGCTATTGACAATAAGTCATTAATAATAGTAGAGTATAATGGTAACACCATTAACACAAAAATCAAGATTACATCAATGTAAACAACATGGCGACATCTGTTTATTTTTTTCTAAATCTATAAAAAGTACTCTACAGTATTTTTACAATCACATTTTTGTAGCTGATGCTTGACGCCACTATTCACCCTGCAGAGTGAACACATTAAAAATAAAGGATACTGTATTGATACTCATAATTAATACTGATAATTTGCTTATTAAATATGTTTGGCCATGCAGTTCAACTCTTTAGTCATTTACCTCTCTTGTTCTTCTTCATCCTGTCTAAAAGAATGAGAAATCAGAATATACAATATGTGGTTGTGTCTTGAGCAGGATGTCCACAGCTGTATTAGAACCCAACTTAAGTAACAATTTTATCTCCTCTGTGAGACCCCATAGGCACAGCAAGACTTTCTGGAAACCCATAGGAAAKAAGTTGGATGACTGTATTCACATGAGCAGCAATTGGAGCACGTATCTGATAACAAAGCAAACACCAGCGCAGARAAACACCCAAGGTTGTTTTGGGGTCATGAAAGTTGAGGTACTGATAAAACATGACTAGAGTTTGTTGGAAATTAAACCGATACGCCACTGAGCATATGTTTGCTGTCACATCCCTCTGGAGCAGGTTATTAAAAGCAGATGGTGCTTGTAATTAAATGCTAAAGGTTAACTAGTGGGTGGTGTCATGAGTCTAYGGTTCCAGGAACCTCCAGTGGACCCAGTTGTTTCACAGTAACTGTAACACAAGTGGAGGGGTCAGTTCACTACAAAAACAGTATTAAATCTTCACACAAGTCATAGATGTCTTGGTTAAGTGGAGATTGCCTGATATGCATCAGAAACTTCATTTGATATTTAAAAAACCAGCTTATTTGTGCACAATACGGTTCCTTCAGGTTTTGTAGACGTTTTGTATGTTGCAGCCCAAAATGTCTGAATTTGAACCAGCTGTGATGAAAGTTGCCAGGTTTGAACTTTWGTTCTTTAAAAAAGGGGTAAAATGAACAAGAAATCAAGGGAAAAAACACAGAATGCTATATTRTTAGTTACTATTTGCCTTAGAAATAGTTTATCTGAAGAGAACTCTATCCTAACTCATGAATGTGATCTTCTGACACCAAGAAGGTTTTGATCCTGTCAGCTTGGGTTTCAGGAAGTGAAACCAGGCAGGGGGCTGAGGTCTATTTGTGGAAATTTTGTGGTGGTTGGACAGAATTAGGACAGCACAGTGCCACAGTTACAGCTTCTTCTGTTTGGAGTTTTATGCTCTCCCTGTGCACATGTGGGTTTTCTCCAGATGCTCTGGTTTCCTCCCACAGACCAAAAACATGCATGCTAGGATGATTGAGCAGTTGTTTGTCTTTATGTGTTGGACTTGCAACCTGTCCAAATGGTATATATATTTTTTTCATTTTAGACCAATCAATATGCCTTTTTCACTCCTGGCTGGACGCTAAGCCCTCAGACATTCAAAGTATTCACCGGTTATATTATTACACTTGGAGACATACAAGCAGTGGCTCAATAAAACCAACTCACAAACAGATTTATCCAAAATACAGACAAAACGTCTGCCCTGGTTTACTAAAGGAACCGATTAGGAGGTTTTCAAATGTATTAATTCCACTTCATTCAGGTCTGTGAGAAGATACCTTCAATACTCACTTTTGTGCGAAAGTAAACAGTGAATTCAACAAATTCAAAAACCAGAGAACATATATAATATCTATATTTCTTTGGTTTGATTACATCACATTGCTTTGTGATTACCTCTCCTGGTGGACATTAGTGAGTGGCGGCTGACCTCTGGGATGGTGGACAGGTCAGAGAATGTCCCACTTGAGGACAAGAACTCACTTCGACAGGGTCTCTTCTGGAATGATAAGGTGGCTGCACCACAGCTGCACTGTTGCTGGAAAAACTCCTGCAAAAAGGAAGAGCGCACACACACAATCRCACACCACAAGCTCAGTATCACAGTAGTCTGTTCACTGTTTGTAAGGTATGCATTTTATTACTTATTTTAAAAAGGAAATTTTGCATTGTAAATCAATTAATACATTGTTAATAAATTATTGCCTGAGATCTTGATTGGTCTCAGGAGTAAAACTTCTTTGGCAAAATAAGACAAAAAGTCTGTGTCAGGTAGGTGCGAGCGTATGGATCTCAGCATCGATACTATCGATACCAAGAAGAGTATTGTATCGGATTGATACTAGCATAATGAGATTGATTCTTTTGTTTACACATTATTTGCACAACTGACCTTATTTTTCACAAATAAAGTGAATGTTCCTATAACCCAATGAGGGGGCCAGCAGAAAACGTTTGGGAACTACAGGACTAACTAAAGGCAAAATCACAAAATTGTTCAATGAACATGACAATAATTGGTATCCACATAGAAAACTGTGGTATTAGCATAATATTTACTTGGTATTGAATCAAACCAAAACTCTTATCGCCCACCCCTAGTGTCAGTAAATCTTTTACAGTGCACTTAGAAATGAAAACAATCTACATGCATTATTAATGAAATCTTTGGTGATTGCAAATATTTATTATCTGGTTCTTTTTTAAACTCTGTGGACTTGAAATACAATGGATACAATTTTGTGAATCAGCTATAGACCACCCTAATCCTCTGGTCAAGCTTCAGATGGGCTTCTATCTCAGTTTGGGTTGCAAAGAGGACACCCATTGTGACCTAATGACCTGCAGCTCATTTAAAAAGGATAAGGCCATTAAAGGTATTACAAGGTCACTGAAAAGAAAACACCTTCATTATCTTAATGGAATAAACCCAAAAAAGCGGCAAATGCTTCGTCATACTGCACACTGAGACATACTGAGCTCTCTACAGCTCCTTAAAACCAGTCTTATCTGTTTTTATCTACAAGTTGCTGCTGTCAGATTGAGAGCCTCAATACAAACATATTTGACTGAAAAGAAAGCAACACATGCTTCATTATTATTGTCTCTTTATTAAAAGTGTTGGTAGCTTTATAACCAGTAAAGTAAGGAAGTGTTTTAGAGTAAAAGGGATCTGTCAGTTGGAAGGTCAAAGGTTAAACCCCAGCTTCCCTACCACACATGTTTAAACTGCCTTTGGGCTGGATAGAAAAGACCACCTCACCACCCTCTAGAAGACTGTGTGGACTCAGAAATTATGTGTCCATGTAGAAATGGATCAGCATGACTCACAGTATAAAAGTGTTTGAGTGGTCAACAAAGCCTGAGAAGTGCTAAATATCATTTTATCACCAACATTAATCAAACTAAAAATGGTTCAAACTCTTGCAGTTTAACAGATATTGAGCTTAGATTTGGTGTGGTAGTAGCTGAGCATCATCCTCAATACAAACTCTGACAACAATGACAAATGAAGCCAAAGAAAAAGTTTAAAACGGTTGGTTTTAGAATTCCATCAACATAAATGCTAATATTTATCATAGGTAAAAATATGCAGTTTTTATTTTTTACAGATTCTGGTTTATTTTATTTTTTTTTTTGGCAAGAAAATGGTGATTTTTTTATAACTCAAATGGTTAAAAGTCACCAAGACCTCAAATTATGTTATTAACCCAAATCACTTTTCAACATGTGACCTGTTAACCCAAAACAAAGATGGCAGCTGGAAAAAGAAAACGAACTCAGTGATTATGTTTATCTTTATATCCAGTCAAAAAGTGTATTTGATCTTTTTTCAGACTGATATAAGCAAGAGCAGAATGTGCCTGGAAATTTTTCACCAGTCTTACTGCAATGGCAGATTATTTTACTTCATTTGAGAAGATTCAGATTATAATCTAAGATTTTTTAAATTTCTTTTATGTCTAATTTTTGAAGAGTACGACAACAGAGAAAGTGCATAATTTCCACAAATACTTTAACTTCCTATTTTAAGTTTCATTGTTTAGCTTTGTGAGAGACATTCTGTCATTTGTCATRAAGTTTTGAAATGCAATATTTTACATCCTTGGCTCAATTAAAAAAGGAGAGTCACACACCTCTTTTGTCTTTCCCATCCTGCAATCCTTCTGCAGAGAGCAGAGCTGTCTCTGCAGCTGCAGGTTCAGCTCCTGCAGGTGACCGATCTTCTCCAGCAGTTGGCAGATGTGCTCCAAGTAACCTAAACCTGAACCCAGAGGGCTGGAGCTCTGCTGTGCAGCCTGTATACACAGAACATGGTCACATTAAATGCAACACCAGCTGTTAAAGGGATAGTTCAGGTATTTTTATGTGGGGTTTGGGGAAAGGGCTGTAAACTATTAATATTTTACTGTAAGTAGCTTTTTAAGTTATCTTAATTTAGAAACAGATTGTTGAGCTTACGGCTAATCAGAGTGGAGATCACCACCTTTGCATTATTAGTTTCAAATTATTATTATTCCAGGAAAAATATCACATTTTTCCTGCCAGTGTTCCACACTTTATTGGAAATGCTAAAACTATTAGCTTGTTCTACTTTCTGAGCAAATAATCACACAATCCAATGAAAATAACAATAATGTTAAACTGTATATGATGTAAAAGTGTATAGAAAACAGTAAACCACAAATAATTTTGCTTTAAGAAGGCAGCGTTCCACTTAGATATGGTTGGACTAGCACTATTTCTTCAAACTGAGGATGTTGAAAGCTATTTACAACAGGTAAAATATTATCTAATTGTTCACACATGACCCCACTTCAAAAGATCTGAATGAAATGTATGGAAGTTAGTGTCTCCAAAAAATACAAACTCTAATAGGAGCAACAGATTTTATTTTTATAGAAACTGTTATTCTTTGTCACAACAAAATCTTTCATACAAAAGACAGTACAGTACAAGGGTCTGCAAACTTTACGATCAAAAGAATCATTTCTGCTCCTTGGCTCTCTGATTAAATGTGTCCCGAGCCAAAAAAAGGTGATACAATTGTGATTATCAACTGGTGGCCTGAGGGCCAGTTTGACTTCGTTGAAAGAGGCTTTTCCAGCCAGTGGGGGTTACTTTATAAGACTAAAAATATCTAGAAAAGGTCATTGTTGTTTATT